AATTGGTTCATTATGAGAAAGCGACAGCCTACAGAATAGAAAGAGATTTTTACTAACTAAACATTCAATATATCTAAAAAGCTAAATATCAAGAAACAAATAACCAAATTTTAAAAATGAGGTACAGATTTAAACAGAGAATTCTCAAAAGAAGAAACTCAAATGGCTGAGAAACACAAAGAAACATCCAACATCTTTAGTCATCAGGGAAATGCAAACCAAAACCACTTAAACACTTTCTCTTACACCATTCATAATGCCAAAGATCAATAAAACAAATGACAGCTTGTGCTAATGAAGATGTGGAATAAAGACACCAACCCATCCATTGCTGGTAGAAACGAAAACTTGTATGGCCTCTATGGAAAGCAGTGTGAGAGATCCAGCTTTAATACTCTCGGGAATATACCCAAAGGATGTTTCATCTTACCACAGAGACGCGTGTCCAACCATGTCCATTGATGCTCTATTCATAGTAGACAGAAACTGGAAATACCCAGATGTCTGTCAATGGATGAAAGGATAAGGAAAATGTGGAATATTTATACACAATGGGATATTACTCACCATCTACAAACCCTTTGATCTACAATGGTGACCTGCCTACAAGATATGCTGGGACTAACTACTTACTCACTTGTTTAAAAAAAAAAGAAACTTGAAGAAAAATGGGTGGTGCTAGAAAAAAGGTAACCCACACCTCAAAAGACAAATATGGTATGTTGCACAAGTTCTAATTGGTCTTAATAATAAAAATCCAGAGTCAGATATTAGGGGGTGAAAGCTGAAAAATTAGAGAAGTAAAGCAGCCAGCCACTAAAGTTCTTATCTCTACGAAATCCTCAGACCAAAAGGAGGCCAATCTCCTGTCTCCTCTCCACCCAGCCATATCACTTCCTGTCTATAGAGACCTCCAGACCTCTATAGTTACCTAGTTCTGCTCTATGATCTTCAGGCAAGCTTTATTTGTTAGAGTATAAACAAGAAATCACCATGCATTCATTTATATGTAGATGTTAGCTGTTAAGTCATTGATAAGCAAGCTACAACTCATATAACCACAAAGGTTCAGTATAGAGTAAGGGACTAGAGAGAGGGCTGGATCTCCCTAGAAAGAGGAAATAGAATAGATAGTTATGGATGGATGAAATGGGGTGGGGTGACAAGGACAGGAGGATCAAAGTTGGTGGGGAGGGAGGTAAGGGAAGAAATACAAGGAGAGACAGCTAAAATTCAGGGCCATTGGAAGGGTCATGTGGATATCTACAACAGTGGAAGCTCCCTAAAATGTATACATATATGAAATCAACCTAAACGAAATCACCAAATAAAGGAGAGAGAAAGTCCTAACTGGATGTCTGTCATCACCAAATGGAGCTTCCAATTTGCTCAGATAATGGCTGAGATAATAACTAGGATGGGTTACATCTAATTGAGCTGTTGGTCAAACGGGTCCTAAAGGAATGCCCAATAGCCCACACTACTGTCAAAGCTGTTGATTGACAGCTAACAGTGAAGTCTTATAGATGAAAACAATACCCATACAACTCACTGAACACAGTGAAGCCTACCTAGAGAGCCTTTCCTACTACCGTGTGTGTATATTGTGGTATTAGAAGGTACTCTGCAGATTACCAAAGGAGAAAGATAAATACCAACCCATCTACAAACCCACTCATCTACAATGGTGACCTGCCGACAAGATATGCTGGTGCAATATTGGCACAAAGCTTATGGGAGTAAGCAACCAGTATGGGATTTGCTTTAAGGCCCACTCTAGGAAATGGAGCCCATTCCTGACACTGCTCCAGTGGCCAGGAACATGAGACCACATAGGCCAGGAGCCTACAGCAGAACCAAATACTACTGTTAGGTTAAAGGAATCTAGCTATAAAATGACTTCCAAGGACAATCTACTTTTCTCATGGATCAGTCATCATCAGAGTAGCTTCCTTCTGCAGCAGATGGGAACACATACAGAGTCTCAAAGCCACCCAATGTGTACAGAGTGAGAGGCCTTAGAACACTCAGCCCTCAATGGAGTGTCTCCATCAAATTCCTCATGTCTCAGGGAACCCTGCCTAAGATGACGCAGTGTTAGGTACAGAGGGGATGCAGGACACCACGGAAATAAGACCTTCTACATACAGTGCAATGGATGCACATGAGTCCTAGGAGACTCAGGCAGCATGCACAGGGCCTGCATGTGTCTGCCCCAGTTAACACCCAGAGCTAAAAAGAGAACTGGACACATGCCTCATCCCTAACCTGGAAGTCATCTCCAATTAATAGTCATTTGAAAGTGAAAAATTAGTTTTCTCCAGGGAGTCTTTTTTGTCTCGGTGTTTATCTATTTTGGTAAGCTTAAGTTTTAGAAAGTTTGTCAATTTCTTCTGGATGTTACAAATGTATTACTTTGAAGTTGTTTATCATATCATTTAAACAAAAATAGCTGTATCCTCCTTTGTTCCTGTATGGTTACATTTGCTTCCTGTTACCATTTCTAGGGATCTACCATACATATGATCAGTTGTAGATTGTTTTAAAAATCAATTTATTTTATTTAAACCTTTGGTTGAATCTTTATTTCCTTCCGACTTTGTGTTTTTCTAAATTACTAAGATGAGTATTTCCTTTTAGTTTTTTTGAGACAGTTCCTCATGTCACAAAGGCTGGCTTCAAACTTACCTTCTAGCTGAAGACGACCTTGAATTCTTGACCTTCTTGTCACCACCTCTTCACAAGTGCTGGAATTATAGGTGTTTGCCACTCTGCCTTGCTAAGATACATACTTCTCATATATAACCTTTTTTGTGCCTGCTAGACACATCGAAGTGGATCAGTTTACACCACGTGTTGCTTTAGTCACAGCCCATACATCCTACTGGGCAATTTCACTGTTGGAGAGTTCCAGTTATTCTTGGTTTCTTCTTTGACATGTGAGTTAGTTGGAATTGTGTTAGCTTTCTGAAGTATGAGGCTGTTTAATCATTCTCTTACCATGTAAATGAAACTCTGAATTATCTCCCTCGTAAACTTCTAGCAATGTTTTTGCCTTAACTTTTACCAGACACATGTGCATACACACATATATACACGTCCACAAGTGTGTGCATATCTGGATGTTTGCACATATAATTTCAGCTTCCTTTTGGTATGATGTTCAATCTTTATATTATGCTTAAGATACAACTTAAATTGGTTTCGCTTAATCACTTAAGAATTGCCTTTAAACTGGAGAACTTGTCCTTTACCTTTAGCAAACACAATGACATCTTGAGTTCTATCAATCACTGTAGTCCTTTTCGGGTGCTAACATCATAGTATCAATGTGGTTATTTCTAGAGTCCTGGTCAGGTCAGAGGTGGAGGGGCTGTATCTGGCGATGGCTGGCCTTCTTACTGAGGTATCTGATGGAGAAGAAGGATGCCTTGTGTCCTGTCTTTAGCTCTTCTTATAAAGTCACCAATATTCAGCCATGGGAGCTCCATCCCACTATTCTGTCTTCTGATTCTTTCTACCACCCAGTGTCTCTAAATGAGGATCAGCCCCAACAGGAGTTTCCTAAGAGACAACAATTACCAAATCAGAACATCTATTTACTCATTTTTTTAATTGATCTTCTGTTTTTTCTGTTTTTACTATTTCAGTTTCTCTTCTATTAGCTACAGATTTATATACTAATTTCTCGATGGCTATTTTAATTGGTTATGCTACAAATCACACTCATACTTAACCAATAACTAATGTTGGTTAATCTCCTTTCAAAGTATCCAAACTTACACTGGCTGCACTGTTATCCTATGCATTACTCTCCATGTCTACTTAAAACTTGGAGGTGTGCCAGGCTTTGGGGTTCTTTTGAGCAAATCAAGTTTCAGACCAGCTCAGGTGAATGTAGGAGGAAAGAGCTTCAAAGTTACTGACTTACAGACAGAAATGGTTATCAAGGGTAGCAGAGATCTAGGGCTACTTGGTGATCTACTACATGGCACCTTAGAATTCCTGATAAGCAAGCCTCTAGGGAAACGTAAAACCTAAGCTGACAGATTAACCAATGAACTAAAAAATATTTTAATATTCAGTTATTAAGAAGGGAAGAAAAATACGTTTAATTTTTAATATGATTGAAATATCACATATAATTTGAAAAACAGACTTGAATTTTGGAAATAAGGTTTAGTTCTGTGTAGGAGGCATGGAGGTCCTTGTGCTCACAGATAAGCTAGTCAAGTCTGGAATGTTAAATACACAGGGTTGTTCCATCAAAGGAAGAGATGCACAACCTGTTATTAGCCTAGAAGGCTGCGATCATATGCTGCTAATAGCCTGGTGATCTAGACCACACCATCCTCCCCCAGATTCTTATTGTCTACAGAACCCATCTTATGGGAGGTGTCACATGTAGCCAATCTATAGAAGCCATACTCCTCTATTGATCTCCACTTTTTGAGAACGGGCCTCTCACTGAACCCAAAGCTCACTGATTCGGCTATACTGACCGGTGAGCCACAGGCATGCACTGTCTCTGCCTCCTCATCACTAGGGTGACAGACATACAGTACCACACCTGTTTTTCCCGTGGGTATTCGAGGTCTGTACTCAGGGTGTCATGCTTTCCCAGCAAACACTTTGCCAGCTGAGGTTGCTCCCTGGCCTAACTTCTGTCACTCCAGTATCCAATCAGTTGCCCAGCTTACACACAGATTTTAATAGGTATTGTATTCTCAAAAATTAAATCTTAAGTTTTTCTATTGTGAGTGACTCAAAGAGAACGTTCTAAGTGATAGCCAGGAATGCACTATTAGAGGAGACATGATGGGACTTTCAGAATGACAATACATCAAATAATAAGCTTACTGGAATTCTACATCTATCATTATACCCATATATTTGTTTAACTGATGAAGAGAGAAACAAACCATGAGCTAATGCTTGATGGGAATAGAATCTGAAACAAATTCATCTACAAAAAAGAAATTTTCAGTACAATTCCAAAGTATGCTCTTTTTAAGTCTTTTTAGTCCAAGAATTAAATTCCACAAAATTACATTCCACACAGTAAATATGTTACTCCGGTGATGGCACAGTGTGCCATTTGTGATCCTGATCCATTTATCATGAATACAATCCAAAAATAAGAGACTATTCCATTAAAGCTGCAGGGATATATTTTCAAAAAAACAATGACAGATGAGGTAAGAGGTTATAAATTTAACATGCTTTGTTAAGATTTATGTATCACAATTTTGGTTTCCTAGACTCAGTGATACTAAACTGCCGATTGGGTTTAGTAGCTTCTTGCATCAGCTCTTGCAATTGTCCAATCTGCTCATCACGAAAGTCATTGAGTTTTTCTTCCGGGAGAGAGGTGCCAAAACAAGCTTTTCCTGTTGAACTTTGTCTGCTATCCTTAGCTTGTTGCCATAACACAGCAGCATAGGCCTAGTAAAGAAACAGAGAAAGGAAGGGTTAGAGAGTGAAAAACAGTCTCCAGTTCCCAAGTCACCATTGGGCTCCATCAATACATTTTCTGCAATTGATCAAAAAGACACAAAGTCATGGTTTTAGTCTCCAGACATGATTTCAAATAGATCTTTTTTTTTTTTTTTTTGCATTCTAAAGGGTTTTTACAGACATTTAGAAGAATACTTCATCTGCAAATCAATATCAGAGGGCTGCTCTATGCAGTGCTGCCTTTAGTCCCAGCACCCAGGAGGCAGAGGCAGATAGATCTCTGAGTTTGAGGCTAGCCTGGTCTACAGAGCAAGTTCCAAAAGTTCCAGGGCTACACAGAATCACTGTCGTGAACCTCCCCACCCCCAATATATAAAATAGACAATAAGCATGGGAAGAAAAGATAGAAACATCAAGCTATAACTGCCTTTCGAGGGAGAAAGGGGAAAAAGTCCAGAGTGTGAGTTTAGGTACACTTTTAAAGAGTGATCTAAAATGTACCGTAAAATGTCAACATCTTATTTTCTTTTTCAGAATTTTAAAATTTTCATAAACTGGAGCTTGTGAACTTAATGCTTTTAATTTCAGAGTATTTCTCTTGGTTTACACTTTAAAATAAGGTAACACTTACATTTAAAAAAAACCATCCTTAGTAGAGGGCACTAGCCAACTACAGCACATGGCTCTGGCAGGCCTGGCCCTTCTCCCCATCCCCTCTGCCTTGCTAAAAACTGTTAGCTCTATTCCCTTCTTTAGCCATTTCTTCCTCCTGAGCCTTACTACCAAGGTCGAGCTATCAAAGTATTCAAGTCTACCAATCAGAAGCCCCTTTGGGTCACCTAATTAACATGCCCAATTAAACTTAAATGCCTCATCCTGGCATGGGGTTTCCCCTTTGTCTTTATACACTGCCATTTGCCTATGTGCCTATGTGTCTGCTTCTTCTCTATCCAGAGGCAGTCCTTTGTCCCTGCCTCCTTCCTCTTATCCCTTCCCCTTCTCCCTCCTAGCCCATTCAAACGCAGACCTCCCCTTTTCCTCCTCTTAAAAATGGCACCTGCAAGGTCATTTGCTGCTGTTTTCTGACTGAGTCAACTTCCCCCACTTAATAAAGGATCTCTCTGTGAAAACTAGTGCCTAATCTGGGGTCTAGAAGGGATCCCCTGCTGTGCTGGAGTCCCTTTCACTTGGGGACACTAGAGACACATTTCACATATAGTAAATGTGATTTTTTTTATGTGAATATGTGTGTCAAAGTTTATGTGTGTGCATCACTCGTGCAGAGCTCAGAAGAGGGGATCAGAAGGATGCCCTAGAAATGGACCTTCTGGGAACAGAACCCAACCCTCTGCAAGACCACTTAGGTAAAGCGGTCTGGACCATGAAGCCATCTCCAGCCCCTCAATGGAAGCTTTAAGTAGAAAGACTGTCAGAACAGCAATGTGGAAGTATCCAGATACAGCTGTCAAGTATAAACTTTCTAAGCAGGTTACCACACCAGGGAAATCTACTTTCAGGGAAAGAAAAACCCTGCACATGAGCTACAATATCCTTTGGCCTAAAGCTCCAGTCATTCTAGCCTCTAAGAAAAAAAAGCTAACTCAACAGTAGATGGCACCAGTGACTGATGTCTTGAACCAAAGAGAATCACAGTTCTTCCTCAGGTTAAACTGAGCTGCTTCAGGTGGCAGGGTGACCATACACTGTTGACGGGAGTGTAAAGCAGCGTGGCTACTATGGAAGTCAGTGTGGAGGCTTGTCAAAGAAGTCAAGTACAAGTGCATTACTCCTGAGCACATACCCAGAATAGTCTACACCTGACTTCAGAGCCAATCTGCACACCCATAGTCACCACTGCTCTTTTCACAACATAAAGACACGGAATCAGCCTACATGGCCAGCAACTAACAAATGAATAAAGGAAATGGGATTCTTATACATACCGCAGACTGCTTTACCAACCTGAAAAGCATAGCTCTCATGACACACATGTGTTCATGGTTAAATTTAAATTATTTTCATGAATCAGTAAAGAAACAGGCAGTATTTTGATGAGATTCAAATACTATCTACTCTTGCCTTGGCTTCTAAAATAACCCTCAGATAGTTTTCTTGTGGGTTTATCAGGATTCAAAGAAAAAAACTAGTTACTTTTGAAACTATCTTTCTCAATCACAAATCCTTTATATTTAAATAAGAGAAAAATGACAGCTTGGGTGACAAAACTTTGTCCTTTATTAACTCTTGCTATCAACTAATCTTGTTTGATCCTCATTGTTTTCAGACTCCAGTTAATCATTTCACCATTTCTTCCCACCTCTGGCAAGTGTTCATTAGAGAAGACAGTAAGAACACTTGCATGTACCAGTATATGGGAGTATACAGCAGGTGACAACTAGTATTCAACAGGCTGATCCACCTGATGGGTGATTCTCTGATAGGGAGCCCCACTTGACAAAGACCTTGGAGTCACTGAGTAGGAATGACTGCTTGTCTCTGTAATTTTTCTCATGTGCCACTAGAAACAGATACGGGTATTATTCCCACTTCTTGTGAAAATATTCCCTCTGTTGGGCACACATATAGCTGTGGATAGTCAGGAAAATGATTTCTGCTTAACCTGTATAATTCTGATGAATACAAACCCTAGGATATTTTTCATTATTCTGACTGACATAAGAAAGTGGGAATCCAGGTGAAGAGAGGGAGGAGGGAATACATGAGCAAGGGAGGTCAAGATCATGATGGAGAAATCTACAGAGACAGATGAACCAAGCTTGTGGAAACTCGTCAACACTAGACCAACAACTATGGAGACTCCAGAGAACCAAACTATTGAAAACAGTTGTGAAGCTCGAACTATCAGAGGGGCCCGTCAGTAGGACCACAATACAAACCTGGTACATGAGCTGGCTTGTTGGAGCCCATTCCCTATGGTGGGAGGCCATGCTCAGTTTTAATGCATGGGAGAGGGGCCGGGCCCAGCCCCAACCTATTGTGCCAGACTATGTTGACTCCTCTTGGGAGCACTCACCTGTGAGGAGGAGTGGACTGGAGTGGGTTGGGGGTGAGGTGAGAGAAGGTGGAAGGTGATGGGGTAGGAGGAGGGGTGGGAGGGAGAACTGTAGCTGGAATGTAGAATGAAATCAAAAAATGAAAAATGGAAATAGAAAAAAAAGTAATAGTATTCTCAGCCACTAAGACAGCTAATTTTAGACTTCAGTACAAATTCAAAGCAAACTGGTTGTCCCTGGAGACAAATATATGGTTGCCCCTAGAGACAAAAGCATGAGGTCAGTTTCCCAGGTGTTCATTGCTGATTGAAGGTCAGAGCAGAGCATGAAGCCTCTTTAGCAGACGTAACTTTCTCAGCAATGGACTTTCTGCACATTCTCCCAACCTCAGGGTTCAGCCAGCTAACCGTTTATTTTTTAAGTAAATTTCAATGTTACTTTCCGTCTGGAAGCCCTGAACACTCAGAGCTACGTGCTTAGTTGGCTCACTGGCTGGTCAGCGCAACCTCCCTTGCCTGAGAGAGACTGTATGATTAGTTTGGCTCTGTTTCTTGTTGTTTATTCAAGAAGAGCTTCGTGACCCTGAAAGATGTGATTCGTATTTGTTCAGAGGTTTGGGCTATGAGAAGCAGAAGAGATGTAGGGAGAATTAGGAGAGAAATGTGAGAGGGGTATGCATGTGTTGGTCAGAATATGCAGTTGAAAGTGCAGAGAGAGAAGTGCAAAAGAGATGAGAGATGCGGCTGTGTGGAGAATGTAACTGTGAATCTAGATGCAACTAACTGTGTATAGAGCTGCGTGGCTGTCAGAAGGTAGGCATAGCTGGGAAAAGAGATGTAACTCTATGCAAAGGGATGAGACTGTGTCGAGACGATGGCTGTGCAGAAAACGGATATATACTCGTAAAGAGAGACATGGAACTGTACGTAAGGAGATGTAACTGTGTAGAGAGATTGTCAAGGAAGAGGGATTATTAAAATAAAATAAGAGAGAAGGTCACCACCAGGAAAGCCTGTGTTTGTTCCTTTTTCTTAAGTTACCATCAGACAGTGTGCAGTATGCATTTCCTTATTGACCCCTCATAGAAAAAATATTGCTGAGAAGACATTCTTTATGCTACCCTGGGCGCACACCTGGGAGCTGGCCTCCTGGGCTGCAACATTTCTTCTTAAACACCTTAGCATAATTTTTTCTACCTCACTCATTTTAAAACCTAAAACATTGTTTAAACGTTAGACTGAACAGAAATTTCCTCCGTAAGGGCCCAAGACTCCAGATCTGTCACTTTAGCTAGTGACAGATACTTTTTTCTGTCACTAAATTAGAACTTATATCCAGAGTGTGAACAACTAGATGGATGCTGCTCTGCTCCTAAGCTAGAAGCAAAGGGGCATAAAATTCCTCACAGACTTCCACAAACACCGAGACTGGCTCTGAAGAACAAAGCTGGGCCACAGCTTTCTTGAGATGCCAATAAGGATCAGAGTTTAAGATGAGAACAGGATTTGAACATATGCTGGTAACCAGACACAAAGCAAAAGGGTCAAAAACCAAAGGTCAAAAAATAAATAAATAAATCCATGATACAGGCTAGCAGAGGAAAAAAAAAAACTTTGGGGGGCAGTGTGTTTCTCTATATAGAAACACAGGAGGTTGGCCTCCAGACACCTTCTGGATTTGAGGCTCACTTGCCAAGTCACTAAGACAGACAAGTTCAGATCCACACAAAGCATCATTGGTAGCTAAGATAATACATTTGAGTTTTGGTTCCTATCTACAGGGCTCCTTTCATAGCTGGCGGCTGCTATCTTTGGGTATAGTATAAACATCTTTCCCATTTTTAAAGATTTATTTATTTATGGGTTTTATGTACATGTATGTCTGCACACTAGAAGAGGGCATCAAATTCCATTATAGAGAATTGTGAGCAACTGTGCAAACGCTAGGAATTGAACTCAGGACCTCTCTGGAAGA